AACGTAGGCATTTTTCAAAAAATCAACACTTTACTTCTTCACAGACTTTAGACAAATCGAAAATCGCAATAAAACGTAGTGTATAAGCAAGCACACCTAACAGAGTACAGACGCTTGGCATTGGCCTCCATATTACACTTTTTTTTGACAGCTCGTTGAATTGCCTTATTGGGAAATGTCAAACATTTTCGTTCTAGCAGAAATTTGTTGCCAACTTAAAAACATCTGTCACCAACAAATTTAACTGTTAAGCTACATCCTCAATCAATCTGGTAGCGAAGTGGCACTTTGGCACGCGTGCTGGAAAATTTATACCCATCCTCAATGCTGTCAATTTTCAGTCTGCTGTGCGTGTAGTACGGTCACATACCGTGCATTCGGTATTTTGATCTGAGTTCTCTGAGCATGAATTTACCGTTCGTTTATTCAAAAAGTGTACTCGGTACTCGGTGCAGGCTCATTCACGTTCGTTTAATAAAATTTCGAGCCCTGTGATACAGCGTTTAACTGCTCTGTGCGCTTGCTGTCCACGTGATTACGGCTCCGCTCTGCTCTTTGAGCAAAATACTGAACGCAAGGATAACCTAAATTATTTTTTACTGTACTGCGCATGACATAAGTCGGCACGCATCGAAAAAGCTGGCAGCTTGCAACCTTCACTTCAGAGTCGACGTGCATGCCAGCACGGAATTGAATTGAGGATGCCAACGTTAAACAACATTTCCCTAGGTTGCGTGCCGAAGTGCCACTTCGCTACTAAATTTATTGAGGATGAGCCTTTAGGTTAATGTCACCAACATGTTTCCAACTTTTTGCTGGAACAAATCTATTATTAGTCAATGGCACTTATGTATTGACAGTTGACGCCTGTCATTTATTAAAAGCAAAGTATTGTCCGTCGTTTTCAATCTGGCACTTTCCGTATGAGGAGCAAGGGGGCGAAGCATATGGCAAAAACAGGTGTGACGTCCAGGGAGTAAATTTAAATTAAGGTGTGAGTCCACCGCTGTCCCGATTGTATAATTGCACTCGGTAGACTCTATAAAGATGCTGGACCACCTTCTTTCTGTGGGAATTTGATTTTTTCTATGCCTAATGCAATATTTGTTTTATAAATACCTATTTTTGTCCATTAAGGTAATGCAAGTTTCAATATACAAGTTGTGTTTTTCTTCACATCATTAGGGAATAGAAATGAAACTAATACCTATAACCTTTTTCATTTATTATTGGCGTAGTGGCGTGCCATGGAAATTTGGCAGGTTGACCCTCGTATAATAATGACAGTATATGTCAAATTCCAGACAGTTTTAAGTGTGGCTTACATAATTTCGTAAGTGCCACGGTATTAAAATTTTCTGGCCTATCTGGCAAATCAAATTTGACACATTTTTCAATAATGCTATATTATAAACGGTACCTAACTATTTTGCGTACCTGCAAAATCTAATGACATTTTTTAAAATTCGGCATTGTCAAATTTCTTTCGTATTGAAGATGCCGAAAATAATTTCAGAAGAAAAAAAAAGGGAAATATTAAAATGTCATGGTTATTTAAAAAAAAATAAACCAGAGGCTCTCCAGGGAACAATTGAAGCCCAACTTGCAGATATATTTGAGGTAGGTATAACTTAAATGTAGATGTGAAGCCATTTCTTACCCAACCAACATTTTCCTTAAATTTTAGGTGGGAACCAGGACTATTCAAAGAATTTTGACTGGACAATATACAAACAAAAAACCTCTAGGCCGACCGAAAAAGACAGAGACTATTATGGACCGAATGTTTAAAGAAGATTTACAACGACAAATTTGGAAATACAATTCTAAAAATGAATATTTTACATTACAAACATTACTGACAAAATTTGGAATTTAAGGGAGGGCAAACAAGTTTATATAAAATTTTAAAATCTATGGGATATAAATTTAAATTAGTAAATGGACGCAAAATTTTATGTGAGCAGAAACATGTTCTTGCTGCCAAAATTACATTTTTGCGGAAATACCTGCAATATAAACATTCAAACGAAAATATCAGATTCGTGTATTTAGATGAAACTTGGATCTACCAAAACGGATCTCAAGTTCGTCGATGGATACACGAATCTGATATGAAATAAGCAACCCATCCAAAATTAAGTCAGAGGGGAATCGTTTTACTATTTTGCATGCGGGGAGTAGTTCTGGGTTTTTAGATGGGTGCGATTTTTTTCTAGATTCAAGAAACAATGACAGAGACTACCACAATACCATGAACGCGGACATCTTCCAAAAATGGGTCGTTGATAAACTAATTCCTGCATTGAATTTATTTGAAGAGAAATGTGTAATAATTATGGACAACGCTCCATATCATTCAGAGCAGAAGGATAAACCACCTTCATTCTCTTCAAAGAAAGACAAAATCCAGGAATGGTTGGTTAAACATAACGTAGACTTCGACACAAAAATGACCAAAAAACAACTATGGGACCTTACTCAACCATTTCGGAATAGACCAAAACAATACAAAATTGACGACATTTTGAAAAGCCACGGACACGAAGTTCTTAGATTACCTCCTTATCATTGCCAATATAATCCTATTGAAATGGCATGGGGGTTTTGTAAGAACTTCTATAATAAAACTATAACTTCGCAGCCACCATCCACGGATATAGGGTTGCGAGGGTATGGCGTGAGTCTCTTTCAAAATGTACCTCAGACATGTGGACGAATTTTTGTAGACATTGTGACAGACTTATTTCAGAAGACTGGACAAAATACATGGGAGACTCACCTTTCAAAAATATTCCTCCTTTCATTATTTCTCTTGGAGAATCCGATTCCGAATCGGATTCAGACATGTTGTCTGAATCTGAGGAGGTATCTAATTCTTTAAGTGAAATGGTGGAAGCTGAATAAGACGGACTAAAAAGGGATCTGAATTTGAACTATTACTTTGACAAAACTATAAGGGGAGGGTGGATAGGATCGGGACTCTGGGAGACAATGGACACGCTAATATTCTCCGCCTCTTGCGGCTTTCTGATCTATCACGCCAAGGTGCCAACAGTATCTCCAGAATGGTCAACCGGCACAGATCAGATTGTTTTTGTGAAATATTTTTTTTTTTGAAAAAGCTTTTCATGGGAATTTTGTATTTTTGGCATTGTTGATCTAATATTTCAAAGAGCGAGGTAAGTATTTTATTGTTTATTTTAATGTTATTTGTTTAACTTTTTGTGTCAGAGTAGAAAGTAAGGTTAACCGATAAAGTTATGTTCTCACAGAACGAAAATACCAATGGGAGGTTTTGATATTTTTAAGCTAATCCGATAAAGTGCACAAGGGGAGAGGCTGCACAGGATCTCCCCTTGTTGTCCATAGCTTCCCTTCAAAAAGAAAAACAGCAACAAAAACTTGTGGCAACATGATGGTTGAAACATATTATTATATTCCATTTCAGTTCAGCAAGAACATAACAATAAGAACATAGAAAAAGACTGACAGGGAGTTCTGACTGATGAACATCTTCAAAGAAGAAGACTTTTCCTCCTCTCACCTAATGGATCAACCGGCTCTCACCATCAATAATAATTATTCATATCCAGAGCCGCAACTAACTATCCACATCAAAAAGGCAACCTAGAGCTACAACCATCAACATCAAAAAACTATTTTGCGCCATAGATTGCCACTGACACTCCCGAAGACAGCGATTAGGCATATGGAGGAGGATCGAATTGAATGTAAAGATAATTTATCAGAAGATTAATTAATTTTCATCAACGACGAGAAAAATTTTGATTACAAAGAACTTCCAGAAACATGTTCTATAACGACAAAGTTTACGGTAAAAGTAGTGTCAGAAATTAGGCAGCGAAAATTATAAGAAGAGTTGATTGATATGAACTGAACTTCTTAGAACATCACGTTGTATCAAATAGATTCACAGTTCTTAAAGATGATTAAGCTTTGGTTCCTTTTTACGACATTACTTCTTCACTTCCATCTCCCATTAATGATAGAAGAAAGAGATTTAGAGACATGATTTATTTCAATTTAGATTTGACGTAATTTGGTTTGCAGTGATGATTTTTTTATTTGTGTTTTTATTTTTTTCTATTCTTTAAATTTTCAAGAATTCCATTCAATTTAATTAGAATGTAGGAATTTATATCTTTTATCTGTTCTAGTTATTTTTCAAAATAATTACTTGGCGAAATATAATATTTTACCTTTACCTTGAAATAAACTATTTTTATTAAATGCACCATGTTTATGCTCATGTCCAAAATCTCCCCTATTTTGCTTCAATGTCTCCCTTCTGATGGAGAGGTATTGGACTCAAGCAAGGCAACATACAAGATTATTTTTAAAGAAACGCTTTACAGAATTGGTCCTCTAATACATCATTTTAGTAACCTATAGTTGAGGTTATCTAACTGAAAATGTAGGCTTAAGTATAGTAACACTTTCTCAAAAAATGGCCTTATGTAAAAATTGTCGAGATCTTACCCACCCTCCCATGCCTTACAACCCTTTCAAAAAGATAAGGTTTTGTTACAATACGATCCTGCAAGGGAAGATATTTGGATAGAGAGGACCAGGAAAAAAAAGAATATCGTGACGGAAAAATCTCAGAACATTGTTTGATAAAAGCTCGCCACAACGCTTCCAATTAAATAATTTTACTATTTGAATTTACTCAGATATTTTACACATTCTGGCAACTCGGCTTTCTGTTTCATAACCCTGAAATTTGAAAAATATTTTGTCATCAAATGTCATTATTATACGAGGGTCAACCTGTCAAATTTCCATGGCACGCCAATAATAAGTGAAAAGCATATAATCTATAACTTCAGTATTTATTGAACACAGCATTCACACAAATCTATAATTTTAGTTACAAGAAGAATCTTTATTTTACAGAGATCTATTGTCACATTGGGCCTAAAAAACGAGAAGCACAAAATATACAAAAATCTCCATTTAATAGAACACTCTAAAAAGGATATTATAATATAAAAATAAAATACTTGGCAGACAATAATGGTGTTTACAAATTATTATAAAAAGAAATACCTAACTTCTAATCAATATTAATATTACCACTTAATACAAATATTAAATTATTGCACAAATTATAAAGGTTTATTACATGATATGTAGTATTTAAAATTGAATAAACACATTTAATATAATCCAGATGGTAAATCCGTAACTTTCTTCCCTATCGTCCCGCTACTCAATGACAAAAAATCTCTTTGCCTGGACAAAGTACTCCTATTATCACCCTGTATCTGTCCAGAGTATAACCCTGCATTTCCATGGCCTCTTTTAATGAGAAAGCTCGTACTTGTGGTTTTCTTCTCTTGAAGCCTTGGAAAATAATAGGCGGATTCTCTTGGAAGAAACATTATTTGCTTGTCATCAGAATATGAATTTTTAATATAAACATTTGAGACGCTTTTGGTGTTTTTAGGCGAATCACTTTTGGTTCGCATTTGTACATTGCCATCCAAACTGTGGTTGGTTACCACAATATCAACCATAGAATCTAGGCCATTGTTATCTATTCTGTCTAAACTCTTACATTTACTTTTACGTCCAAAGTCATCTTGATTCTGGCTAACATTCACTGTTGTAGTGTAGTAGCAAGATGAATCGAAGCCACTATCGAAAGCCCTATTACTATCATCCAAATGCTTAAATGATTTTGATCTTTTCATGCTTGTCTTTTTAGTTTTTGAGCGTGATTTTAACTCTGACATTTTTTTGCAATGACTCGCATTGTCAGGAGTATTTATTCTTGGTACAACACATTTTGACGCACTTAGTAAAGAATCAGAACCATCAGTGCTGGTATAAGGAGTTTCGTTTTCAAAAAACAGTTCTTTTGGACAATAATAGTAATCTTCTGAAGGTACGAATAGATGAACTAGACTTTTGGCTCTACGTGGAGGTTGCGGATGTAAATCTGAAGGTATAATTTCACTTTCACTGGCAATAGCATAATCGTCGGCGTCTATGTGAATTTTGAATTTACTAGCAACCTGTGCTTCTTCAATGCGCCTTTTTTCTTTTGCTAATTTTCTTTGTTCTTTTTTAGCAAAATCTTCAGTTTCAGCCTCGTTTATGATGTTTCTTAATTCTTCAATAACTTCTTCAATGGTGGTTTCTTCATCTTCGAGTTCAGTGTTTGCTTCTTTGGGTAGTTTTGCTACTTGATATGAATCGTATAGTGAGTGTTGAATGTCATCATCAGGAGTGAGGCTTCTTTCAGATGAGGAGATACCTTCGTCTTCATTTAGAGGTAAAATGGCTAAAAAAAAGTTAATTAGATTTGTGAAGTTACTGCTAAAATATAAAGTTATTTACTTCGTTTTTTATTGATATAAGATTCTTTAGACGATCTGCTAGATTTTAAAGACTTTATTTCAGATTGTAGCTCACTACATCGATCCTTAAGGCTTTTCTCAACACAGCATAAAGCTCCCTTTTCTTCCTGCAGAGACTTAATTTTTCGCTCCAAAATCCCAACTTTGTCCCTCAAGCTGGCATTTTCTTTTTTGAAACTATCTAGAGTGAAGGTTAGGTACTCGACGTTGATATTTTTCCGTTCCCAATACTGAATTTCCTCTTGTAACTGGTCGTTACTTGCATTCCCAATATTCTAAAAGATTCAATAAAATAATTTTTAAATACTTAAAATAAGGCACACTAATACCTTTTTAATAACATCAATATCAAATCCGGCCTGATCCAATTCTGCTTGTATGTAAATCCTTTTTTGAGGCGATCCCGCAGTATCCATAAATCTATTTAAAAATTTCAGGCCTGAGATAATGAGTTCTTTTTGTCCTCCCGTCGACGTCATCATTCCGATCAAGAATCTGAATCTGACAGGCTCTCCAAATCTGAGCCTTAGCGTGGACACTGCTTCTGAGACTGCTGAGTGGCCGTTTATGGATGGATCACATGCTCTTGCGAGGAGCTGAAAAAATATTCACAATTAATAAGAACATAGACATTTGTTTGACAATTTGTTCAACACGTTTCAAAAATAGGATCATCGCGAAAAGGAATTTAAAAGCTTTGTGAGAAACAACAGCGGAAGCACGGTTCCGATCCTTTACATTTTTGAAATATTATTCAAGAGTAACCAGAGAACTGCGTCTTGAGTGAGAGGGAGAACATGGTGCATATTTCTGACTCCAGAGAGGTCATTTTAATATTATATCTGGTCCTCTTGCCCAGAGAGAACACTATACAGTACGAAGATGGTAATTTTCTGAAGAAACTTTTAAATAATTGAGTAGAATTTATTTCCTTTTACCGGTTTCAATGTTCAAGAAAGTTCATAAAGATTCTAGCCCAGGTAGAGTCAAGCGCCCCAAGAATTCCGAGTTTTGAAACTTGTTGCGGATTCGTAACCGAACAAAAAAACAACCCTAGACTCGAGGCCGACATTCTACCTGCTGAATGGGCTCGCATATCCTGATAGGACGTTGTGAGATTTGAATCGCTTCTGACCTGCCGCTCTCAGCTCATTGATTATCCTCGTGTATTGTTTGACTAGCTAGAATAGCTCTCTCCCTCTCCCGAATGATTCGAGAGGTCGCATGCTATTAGGTACTGTCGATTTGAATTGCTTACATCTATGCATGCTTGGGTTGGGTTATACCAGCAAAATTTCGTCCATTATATGAATGAACGATCGTGGACCACCTCTGGGCTGATTGCTTTAACATTCCTTAATATTTTAGCTATGCCAGTAGGATTTCTTCCACGATACGAGGGACCGATCGTGTATCTCCTCGGTATGGTCTCTGAATATTGCCTTTCAGTTCTTGCTCTATATAGTCCATTAAGCTCTACTCTGTATCAAACTGTCGTCGCTGCATTCATATTCGTCATTGCTTACTTATGAGCAAACCTCTGAGTTCATGATCATCGACATAGATAACAAGCGCACAAGAAAACTGGTTTAGCCTCGCCTAGAACTTCTGGATTCAACCTAATCATTCTGCATCATGGACGGGTTCAAGATTAATTTCATAATTGAACTACTCCACAAAAATAAACCCTATCAAAACCTCTTGTTCAATAATTATATTTTTCATATTAAAAAACACAGTTGCAGTATTCTTGATTAAACATATTCAATACGGGCATTGCATTTTTTTTTACATTCGATTTTTGAATCGTGGTAGCTTTCCGATTGCAGTTTGCAGTTCATTCTCTAGGTTTAAATCTCAATTAATTAGTAAATCTCGCGGTAAATCTCATGTTCAAAGACACTACAAATCATTTAGCTCAGATATACAGAGTTATACTGTTGAATTTTGGCCAATGAAAGATAACAAATTACCTGTTCAGATCAATAGGTTAAAAAAACTAGATTATTGGAGAGGAAAAACACTCATAATATTTTTTTGTTAACCATTATTAGAAAATTATCTAACATAGGTATAACCGAAGAGTGTCCGCAAGAGTGTAATGGAACAATAATTGGAAAGTAGTGTTGTTATTCCAGAAGAAGATTTGAATATTGAAAACTGCGCCTTCCTTCATTACCATCATCTTCTTTTTCTTTTTTTTGATTCCAAATTTATCTTATCCTGTCGTCTTGTGAATACATCCACATTCTGTTGGAGGCTGTTTGGATCAAGTTCCTGCTTCATTGTAGTTGTCGTCAAATGAACCTATGAGCTTACCAAATGCTGCTAACATTGAGTTTTATGCTCAAGGCATGCGTGTGTGTGTATGTGTGTATTAGAGGTGTCAGTTGCACCGCGACCAAGGTTGATCTATTGTACCTCTCCTTCTGTTGCTAAGTTCCGGATTCCTGCTCATAGCAGCCCCTCCAGTCCTAGGTCCTTTAGGAATTTTAGGATATCTAGCGGTTCCAGGGCTGGAATGTCTTCCAACTGTATAAGGGCACTTCCCAAGCTCTTCATCCTTTGAGCGACTAACGGCATTGCAGTTCAGTAGAAGATGGTAAGGTGTCTCTTCTCTGTCTTCACAGAATATGCAGGTGCCACCTTCTTCTAACCCCAACTTCTGTAGGTGTTCCTTCAGTCTGCAATGTCCCGAGAGAAACTTGGTAAGAGTCTTGAGTCTTTATTGCTAAGAGTCTTGAGTCTTTATTGCTAAGGTTGACCAGCAGTTCTGATCTTTTTGGTTGAAGTTGCCCACTAGATCTTTCGCCTGTAGTAGTCCTGGATGTTCCAATGTTTGTTCTTTAGCCGGTTCTCTTCTTTTTTGAGGATTTCTTTGAGGTGCGCATTTCCGACGCCGCAAAATGGTTCAGGCACAGTGAAGCGAGTAGACGCTCCCGTTCTTGCGAGTCTGTCTGCGCATTCGTTACCCTCGACACCTATGGGTCCGGGCACCCAGCTTGAAATATGCTTGGTGATTTCCCCATTGGCTCCGACTATCCAGGTTCGTAGCCTGAATACTCCGGCTCCAGTTCCCTCAGCAGTTTTGGAACCGTCTGTGTACCATTTGATGATGTTTGCTTCAAGGGACTGGATAGATTCTATGTTCCATCTGTTTTTTGTACTTAGTTCGATGGAAAAGTTTTTCTCGAAACAGAATTTACCAACAGTGTGCACATGCACAGTTTGGGAGAAGAAAAGTTCTGCCAAGGTGCGTTTCCCTTTGTAGACCTATCTTCTCCATGTCTGAGACATGATCCACCGGCAACCCGCTTCACTATTATGTGGAGTGGTGTGAGGTCTAGAATGACTTTTAGTGCCGCGGTTGGGCATGATGTCATTGCTCCTGTTATACAGAGATACGCGAGTCTTTGCACTTTCCCTAGGGTTTTCCTAGCTGGGTTCGGCTATACCAGGCTACCGCTCCGTAGGTGATGATAGGTCTCACTTATCATGGTATACATCCATGTTAGGATTGATGGGTTACAACCCCATGTTTTACCTGCAATGTTTTCGCAGACTATTACTGCCGAAATTGCTTTGTTTTTTGTGTTCTCCACATGTTTGTTGCGCATAAAATTACCCTTAAACTGTTTGAATACTAAATCTGAATTAATAAAACCACAATAGGCCTAGGTACAGTAAGACACCCTTAAGGAATGCGGCCAGCGCAACAAAGTGCTCGCGGCTACTCAGTGGTGTGGGAGTAGGTTCAATATTAAAAGTTAGCTTAATAGGGCGCCATTGGTTTATAAAATACAATCCGCGGACTTAAACCAGAAAGTCCCTGATCTCCAAAATTCCTATAAAAATGTACCTACCCAATGTACCTATTCTTTAAAACAACTTTGCCTTAGTTTGGTTGAGGTCAGTAGGGATAAAAAAATAAGATTCCAATCTAAAAACAATTATTAAAAATCTATTTAATAAAATGTGTTCAAAACTGCAAAAGACCAATATAAGGCAATATATAAAATGCCATAAGATATATAATATTATTAACTGTAAATGTCAAAATTACCAACAGGTAGCAAGGACCAAGTTGTATTGGTCTTATAAAAGGCACTCTAATAAAGTCAATGTTTACCAATGAAATGTTTAACCAACTTACTTTAATGGAAATAAGAGAGAACAAATAATTAATAAAGAGGTAGGTAATAATAATTAAAACCTGTGCACGCTTATACCATGGTATACCGGGGCGGGTTTGTACAAAATGTCACCATAAATATAGTACATTAAAAATCATTGGTACTGCACACCCATTGTTGTAATAATTAAGGCAGTAAAACAACCTTGGAAATATGCCAAGTAAATACAAGAAAATACCATTAATAATAATTAAAAATATTAATTGAGAAATGTTAATAAATTTACGGGTACATCACCCCTTGTAGTCCTCTCTGCAGTTTAGACACCCATTTACATAACTGCCTCCTGACAGCATCACAGCCCTTTTAACAGACCCATAAGCTTCCATAGACTTCCCTCTTAAAAATGTGATTTTAGGTTTCAATTCAGTGCTGTAGGCACTCTTGACACCTCAGCCTCGAGACCAGCAAACCGTCAAAGAAAAAACCCAAAGGCAAAGGTAGAACTCAAACTAAAATCCAATCCAGAAAACCCTAAAAACCCTGGTTACAATTTGGGCTAGTTGAACAAACGTGCTCTAGTGCTTCACACGGCAAACCAACAAAATGGCGTAGACTTCGTTTCCAGAAAATTCTGTGTGGTTGGCTTACAAACACGGGGACGACCAAATCTTTCACCCCAAAACCAATTTAAGCCAGCAACCACTTGAAATCCCAGCGTCTTCAAAATCCCACAAAAAGGTAAATGTTCCAAGGAACGTTGCCAAGAGGACCGCTGGTAAAATCTGCCAAAAACTTGTTGTTTGCTCAACGTGCGAATTTAAAAGAGAACGATCCCTTTTCAGCGATTTATTAGGTAGGCTTCAATATGAAAAATTTTCTAGAATTCCAGTTTTTTTCTTAAGATGTCCTCTGGTGCCAGATTTCCGGCCTTGACCAGGAAAACGGAACACCAGCTTGAAAGGGAACACTCCAAACCACAATGATGACCAACATAACTCAAAATTGTTATCAAATTTTCTCCCCTAACACCAATCAACACTAATTAATTGCTTATAGAAGTTATTAATCACATCTACCCATTCTTCAGTCTAAAAACTATCAAAAATGACCAGTGACTTTTTAGGGATCACTACAACACACAAATAACTGAATTAATTACTGAATTTATTCGAAATCTTGTTACGTTAAGGCAAAATTTTAACGTAACATGTTGGTTCCAGAGAAGTTTAAAATCTAGGTTTTTTCCTAGGTATTTAACTTCTTTTTTCCAATCAAGTCTGCTTCCATCGAGGCAAATGTTTCTCAGGTTTGGGAGTTTCGTTCTTGTTGAATTCGAATTTTGTCGGTCTCTGTCTTTTTCTAGTAAATATCTTCTTCTTCTTCTTCAGCCTAATGCCATCCACTTCTGGATGAAAGCCTCTTCCAATTGTTTCCATGCCCCTCTGTCCTGTGCTGTTTTT